GACCTAGAGGAAGCGGCCCATGAAACCGAGACACGCCGGGGCCCTGAGGCCGCCGGCGCCGCGTGAACCGCCACCCAAGGGGCGCACCACGTTTGGGCTCCACGTATTACCCGATGTGACTGTCACAGCACGAGGATATGATCTCCCAAAATGGGCACCCAGGAAACATTGTTTCCCCCACAAAAGCGCTCAGCTAGTAAGTCCACGCTCACCATAAAAGCTGGCGTAGAAATTAACCCGGCCTCCGTTTCCAGTAAAACTGATAAACTGGTTTTACTTCTATACTGAATTTATTTAAAAGTAGAAAAATAACGGAATTCTATGGATTTTTTTCACCTAGGACTTCTCTGTGGTGAGGCAAATACCACCAGTTGGACCATTACATTCCAAATTAGAAATTCCACCTTTTCTGTCATTTTAATGAATAAAATATCACTTCCAATTTTTTTTAAATGGGGTATGGTGCTTGAGAAATTAAAAATGAGATCTGTTATGTCAAGAATAAAATTAGTATCAACACACATACTAAATTCAGGCTGTAAAATGATTATTTAGAAATTCTTAATTGAATACGTTTGACATATAACACTGTAAACTTAAGGGGTACACATGATACTTTGATATCGTAAATGATTCTGTTAAATAATTTGTGGCATAAAATACAGATGAATAAATAAAAATTTTAGAAATACTCAAAAGATCGTGAAGAAATGACTCCCTGACAAAGGGTGGAGCTCACAGCAGCTCTGGCCACAGCAGAAGGGCGGCAGATGGTGAGTGGGGACTGGCGGGAACCACACGCAACCCCCAGGTCTTTCCGCTGCTGACAAGGTCTCTGAAGGGTAATTAGGGTTTCGTCGGCAACGTGTGTGACAGACTTTCACTGTGCTTTCTCGGCCGTGTTAACCGCGTCTGCACACCCATGATCCCAGGGCAGACGGCGACTCACGCACATTGCCAGCAGGTGGCGCGTCAGAGGCAGGGCGGCCGGGTTAAAGTCCTCGATGTTCCTCAAGGCGGCCAGCTCCGTGCTGGCATTGCAGACCAGCAGCGCGTGGGCCACTGCTGTGGGGAGCAGAGGCAGGCAGCGCACGTAAATGAAGTGGGCCCCAAATGACTCTATTGCATGACCTCAAAACTGAGTTAATCCCGCGACATAAAATAAACTATGCACACGCAGAGGTCCCTCCATCACTGAGCCACTGTGTCCCCTGCTCCTTCACACTTTTTGTGGGTGCCACGGACCGCACAGCTGGTCAGTCTGGGCTCCACACGTCAGCTAATGGACAAGAACGGCTACGTCAGTGTCTGGCGACACTGCCTGGCCCCGGCATGCCCTCCAGTCAGCGTGCTGCCGTGGGCTGCGCCGTGGGGCCTGTGTGATTTCTGAACATTTTCTTGCATTTTTCTCAATTGTTTTATACAAGTATGTGGAAAGCAGAAAATTAGAATGCTGCTATTGGTGAGCAATTAAGTGCAACAAACATGAAAAGATGCACCTAAAGCGACAAACGCTCACTTAACTAGGCTTACTGGACTCAAGCTGGTTGACTAGGCTTACCCGGTTCTGACAGCAAAAATCATAAGTGAAAAAAAGTATATGAAGTACTTGAATGAATCCTTAAACGCTGCGTCTTTAATTAGTTATGGGCCAAAGTCAACCACGGGAAATTCTTCCAGACACTGACTGCATGGAGAAGTCCAGGGGTTCACAGCCCTCAGGCTGGCCAGGCGCTGTCTTAACTAAGAGCTTCCCAGTGAAACGCCCTCAGGACAAAAACCTCGCCCTCCCGCAAACTGCTCACGAATATCTCTTCAAATTCTGAGACCTTTTTGATGTAAAAATAAATGGTTTGTTTACTAAATGTACCCTATCAGAATAATACACCAAGAGAGTGAAATTAATTGAAAAACTTGATACGAGAAATTGAGAAAATTCTCACTGACACGTTTTTCATTTACGAGTGAGGGGAGTCCGGGCGTGAGCTGGCTGCTGGCCCCCGGGGCTGGATGGGGCCGCGTGCGCACGTGGCTTCCAGAAACACACCGCGTGCAGTTTGTTGGGTTCAACCAAACCACCCCCGTCAGGGTGAGGGTTCTGGCTCACGCTGCATCTCGTGACTGTCATTCGTTAGCATAGTGTCATACGACACGGCGGGCACACGGTACTCACTGTTAGTGGGCCAGCTGGAGGGGAAATAACCTTTCAAAGGCAGCAGCTCCACCTCATTGGTGGATGACGGTCCGAAGAAGGCGCTGCACGCAATGAAAGTGTCCAACTCAAAGTCGAGCGTTTTGGAAACCACCCAAAGGTCATCTGAAAGGACAGACGCTAGTTAAAGGGCAGCCCTATGCTCAAGCCGAAGCTGCTCTGAGTTTCCTAGACGCTTAGTCCAACGTTCGTTCTCCAAAAACACAACTGGTTATTTTCACCCACAAGATCCCACGCAAACCAAGACCTGAAAATGTAACACTTCATTTCCACGTGTTTAACTCGATTACATTTGCTTTTAAAGTTACTTTTTACTTATAGAAAAGAGTAACTCAAGCAAAGACAACATGTAACTCATCTTTCCCTTACACAACAGCTCACAGCTACGTCAGGCTTTCCCAGGGCAGACTCTTAGTGGAGACGCCCTGCCACACAACGGTGTCCATGCTCGGATAAGGTCGGCCATAGCAGACAGAATTCACCATCCCTTAACAGACCTGCACTCACCTGACGCTCTGGAGCAAGGACTGGTCTGCTTTCTCCTTGAAATGCGCCTCCCGTGTCCTCAGCACACCGAGCCCTTGAAGCCAGCGGGCCACTTCCCAGAACACCTGACACCATCCCCACCGCCAGTGGAGTTTACACTTACAGGCAGCTGTATTTGCTCTAAACTTCATCGACACCAGTTGTATCTGCTACTATAATTGTATGGCTTCATCATGTGTTATTTTAGCCATTATGGGTATAAAGAAAAAAACTTTTTTTAAGAAAACTTAAGCAAGCAATCTAAAAAGAATTAAAATTTGCTTAAAAAGAAGCCTAAAACATAAAAAACTGCTTTGACTCAACTACACATGATATAAATGTAAAAGATTACTAGAAAGATGAAAATAATTAAATCATTCTCCATTGAGGCTGCTGCACAAGTGTCTTCAAGTTCTGTGTTTAACAACTCGGAACGGCACATTGTGCTGGCCGTGCGTGTGTGGGTGAGGATGAAACGGTCTCCGACCTGGGGCTAAACCCGACCCCCCAAGTTCATCGGCGCAGCCCAGCCCCGCACTGCCCTCCCCCAGACGCACTGCCAGAAAGAACAGCCGACGCCACCAGGGAAATCAGTTCTCAGGCCAAAACGAGGGACATTTAAGGGGCACAAAGACTCAGAGGAAGAACATACTAGATCACGAAGTTCTACAGAAAAGGCAACACCAGAACAGGTGGGGAAAG